ATAACTCCTATTATTTATTCTTCTTCTTCTATATCTAAAGAAAAACCCTAAAATGCTTCAGAAGCAAAAGTCTACCCATATTTCACCAGGAAGCCAAAAGCTCTCAAGAGCTGAGAATTCATTTACTAAGTGGCAACAGAGGTGAGCTCATTTCATGAACAAGACATGTCCCTACAGCAATAGGTTTCAAATTTTAAAAGCTTGACCATTGTAAACAGTTACAAGATAGTAACAGGTGCAGTGGAAGAGACATTATATATAAATCACTGAAGAACAGAAGAGTTTATAAATCTTCCCTAAAGAAAAAGAGTTTAACAGCAAACATGCTGAAAATAAAGACCATAATATAAATGTGTTAAAAAGGCTGGGGTTTAAAGAAAAATGAAAAAGACAAAGGCTAAGCCTTAGAAGATCTCTCCCTTTTTCATACAAGAAGCCAAACTCTTCTAAATACTTACATTTCTTAACTGATAGGTAAACAGTATTCTTTAAAAACACAAACTTTACAGCTTGTAGACAGCAAATACAAAATTAAAATACAACTTCTAGGGACCTGCATTTCTTATATATAGGCCCAACTAATGTACTAGTGTATTAAATTCACGAAATCCAAGTGATTCCTTCCTCTTAAGTTTATATCACCTATTCTCTTTCTGCTCCTTTATCTGTAAACTAGTTTATCACAATTAAATTCTAATACAAATTATCCTTATTTCATATTTATTTCCTTCTTCCTTTCACCTCACAGTATCATTTGAAAAATGTCCTAGTAAGAGTTGTGGTGGTACCATAATGTCGCATTGTGTCAGATAAGACGAACTGCATATCACAAAGCCTTCTCTGTAAAACTCTGCCAAAGTAATATTTAATACAGCGATGTGGAATGAGCCAACATGTGTTCAAATAAGTGCACTCTGTTGACAGCTTATCATTAGGCTCTTCTGAACATTATTCTGCATACCTTAAATATCAATCCAACACAACTGACTAAAATATCAAAATAAGTAAAAACCACATTGGCATAAATAATCTTTTCTATGTCTTCAGAAGTAGAAATCTATTTTCTTAACAATCAAATAAGTGAGTTAAATTATGATAATTTCTAAAAATCCTAGTATTCCTACCCACTTTCGCCCCACTCAAAAACATTTCTTCTATGTTTCTGACAATCAAAATTGAGCTAACTATGAGCATGACCAAAAAATGTAATGACAGTCACTTAAATGAAGTCTAAACATGCATCCATGCATAAAGGGTTCAGCTGTAAGGCTTCACCAAAGTAAAATTTAGTTACAATAATGTACTCTTCTTCATAAGAGATGCTACTGATTCACTATCAATAACGCATGCATAGAATTCTTTTAGATGACATCATGATATTTAACTTGTCCCAGCTTTTCGTGTACTCTAAGATTACGAGCTGGAATTAAGGGACATCAATAATTATGGAAGAGAATAAAGCAAACAGGCTTGTATGGGTTAAATATCTCAACCTCAGTCTCAATCTCTCAGGCAAATAACTGATGGACATCTACTCTGTGCTTGATATTCCAAAGCTGCTAAATGGTCACCACCATGCCCAACTTCAAAAAACTAAAACTTGCACAGGTAAATCATTTCCATTTTTACTCATGTAAGTCTTCAGAGGAATTCAGCTGAAATGTATTACCTATAATTCTGTTTTTCTGGATTTCTGACTAACTTCTGAAACCCATTATCTTTCACATGTGGAGCAGATAAGACAGCTTAAATGGAGAACCTTCCACTGTATCATCATGGCTACTATTGTAAACCTTAAGTGGAAAAGTAGTTACCAGTCAGTAAATAAACAATCATAGTCTTCCACTGACATTCTCTCATTTATGCTCTTATTTATGCAATTCTGTGAGAGAATTCAAATTCAGTTCTCCCTCCTTCCCTAGAGTTTTAGAAGCTTTTTCACTTATTTTATACTAAAATGACAGCAATTTTTCCCATCCTCTCAACCAGATTCCTTTCTTCCTTTTCTCTCTCTTTTCATATAGAAAAAAAGAACTTTGACTTGTTTTTGTATTCAAACATTTCCCTCTTATAACTGTTACTATTAATGCTACAGGCACATTATTTCTTCAAGTCAGGAGTAAATAACAAACTTCTCTGACCTCTGCTGATCACTGAAAGGTCTTAGCTATTGATCTCAAAGCTAGAGGGCAGTTGTACATGTCCAATGAGTTAGACATAAAGGCGAGTTTCTCCTCTGGCTTAGACAACAAATGCTGATGAATGAAGTGTCTGCTGAAACAGTATATCCACAAAGAATACCCGAAATGAATGCGTCTGGACACGAGGTATTAAGGAAAACCTGAATTTACTGGCTTCTTCACTTATATACAGTAGTGAAGAGAACCATGCTAAAATGCAAGAACATGATATAATTCCCTATGGATATGCTCAGATAGCTTTGAAAATAATCAATACAAACTAGTTTAATGAAGTTATTGCTGACCACATCTCACTAAAGAGCTGATGCTATGATTTATGAGTGCCACTTGTGATGGAATGATGACAACACTTAGAACACACAGCTTTATTATAGATTCTGAAGTATGGAGCCTTTTCCTCAAACAGCCAAACTTTTTAAAATGGTCTTTCCCCAATGGTGTTCACTTGCTAATATTCCTAGGACCCAAGTTCCAAACTTTAGATAGCGGGAGGTATTGCATACATATAGAACCTTGAAAATTGTTGTACAACAAATATTGCTTGGTAATGAGAAAAAATATTTGGCATGTACTTAGACTGAAAGATTTTTCTGTATTTGAAAAGAGACAAATAAATAACATGACTGAGCAAATCAATTCCTTTCTCACCACACAAGTAGTATGTGCACATAAAATATGCCTATGCATATGTGTATAAACATACATTCATTTTAAACATGTACTTAAATTTAAATACAGATCCTCGCATATAATATTTACATTTTAAAAAGGAAATAAAATCATTATAATCAATGCTTTTCTGTAGTTCTTTGAAATTACTCAAATAATTCAAACAGAAAACTAAAAGTATGTCTGATAAGCTGTGGGGTCCAAGAAAATGTTGTCAAGAAAATCATAAGAAAGAGAAAATACATTTACAGTAGTTATTGAAAAAAATTTCCCATGTTAGTGGACCCATGCAATTCAAACCCATGTTGTCCAAAGTTTAACTATATTGTGAGCTGAAGGGACTTTAAAAACCTCATATACAGGGAGAGGCTTTCTCTAAACTCCCATTATTTACCTAAACACAGATCTTCCCAATAAAACCTTAATAGTTATAAATCCCCACCAGGGGAATTTTATCAGCCAGGAGAGATGGACTCTATCACCAGAGAAGAGATTAGAAGTTGACACCACTCCCAAACTTTGTCACAAACTGTCATATCCCCCATTTATTCTTCTAAGGGCCCATTCATCTTTCCTAAAAATCATTTACTCTCCATTAAGTGGCCTACATCCCTTCTCCTGTTCTTCCCTATTTTTCTTCTTTTTTTTCTTTTTTTTTTCCTTTATTGATTTTAGAGAGAGAGAAAGTGAGAGGGAGAGAGAGATAGACACCTCAATTAGAGAGAACATCGATTGCCTGGCGACCTCTTGGTGCATGGATTGATGTTCAATCACTGAGCCATACCGGCCAGACTCCTGTTCTCCCCTATTAAAATGGTATATAAGTTCTCAAATCTCACCACTTCGGGGGATAATCACTTCTTTTTCTATAATTTCCCCATGCACATAACATTAAAAATTAATAAATTTGTATACCTTTTCTACCTGTCAATTTATTTCATAAACCCAGTTCTAGAACCTAGGAGGGTAGAGGGAAAGATTTTCCTCCCCTATAGTTTGAAATGTTGAATGAGAAACCCAAGGTTCCCACAATGGAGGTCTTTTACCAGCTTCTTAAACTCGTACAGAAACAGATGTAATGAGTCAATACATTCAGAAGAACATATACTTGAGGGTAATTCTTTTCAATCACTAATATTTATCTTATTTTATTCATTAAATTCAGTCTTGTAATGGATATCACCTAATCATTAAACAACAGGTTTAAGGTAGCCCTAAATGATACTTTTAAAGTTAGTGTAATTAAAAATTTTCTTAAATGTAGTATACAGCCCTGGCGGGTTTGGCTCAGTGGTAGAGCACTGGCCCACAGACCAATGAGTTGAGGGTTCGATTCTGGCCGAGGGCATGTACCTCGGTTGTGGTTTGTTCCTGGCCCTGGTTGGGGTCGTGAGGGAGGCAACCAGTCGATGTGTCTCTCTCACATAGATGTTTCTCTCTCTCTCTCTCTCCATTTCTCTCTCTCTCCCTCCCACTCTATCTGAAGATAAATAGAAAAATATCCAAGAGATGATGATTAAAAATATATATATATAGTCTACCAGTATACTCAACTAAGGCTCCATATACCAAAGAACACAGAAAATAATATTAAGCATCTACTTTCTCAATAATCCCAAAGATGGCACATAACTAGTAGACTCCAGACACATAGGAGAGAAGTTAATTCATTCCATGCAATAGATGCCTTGAGGTACTGAGGTGCAATTCTCAAGTAGAACCTAATTAAGAAATGACCAGAAGCTTACATTACTTAAACATTAAGATTCACAAATGGAAAGTGTTTGTATTTAGGCAGTTGTGGTTTCTCAGCTGTAAAAAAAAAAAAAAAAAAAAAAAAAAAAAAAATGCAATGTTTTCAGGGAAACATACTCTCAAAAAAGAACAATAACATTTTGTCTGGCAGCCTGTGTAATGAGGCTCTGAAAAGACTTCTAAGAGTCATTAAGGAAAAATGGACAACAAGGAGTGGGACCAGTCATGTCTTGAAACTAGAAATTCTAGTAAATGTTAACTATCTTCATATTATTAAATAAAGCACATGTATTCTATTTTATTTGAAAGTTTCAATTTCAAAATATTACGTTCACATACATAAGAACATATGGTAATTTATCGTTTATACTTTACCTAAATACACCAGTCCAAATCCTCCAGAACCAATCATCTCGCCCAGCACCCATTGCTTTCCTTCCATGTCATCCAGAACCTTGCCTTCTGGAAGAGGAACAGGAAGTTTGTATTTCTCATTTCTTCTTGGAGGCATCACTTCTGCTGGCAGAAGAAGTGAGGGCAGTGATTAAAAATAAGAACTGTAGCAACAAAATATTCCAGTTCAAATACATGTCTCAAAATGTCTTCCATGGGGCACTTTCCCAGGTTTCTAGAAATTAGGATTCTGAAGTCAATTCTGTTTGTTCAAACTGAAGATTCACATACATTACAATATTGCAATCTAAGAGGGGCTGACAGTAAACAAACAAAAAAAGCCTGGTGAACTTAACATTTCATTTGGGGGGGGGGGGTCTATAACACCTAGTAGCACCTTAAGAAGTTAGTTAACTTCCAATGAGAAAGAGAAAATATATTTTACATAACTCCTTTCATTGAAAATGCTAAGTGCCAAAGATTGGGTCACTAGGAAAGAATACAGCTATGGATTGGGAAAATTCTAAAGATGGAAATGTACATCATCACCAAACACAGCAAATGATACAGAGTTAAGTATTTGTTAAAGAAGTCAGGGGTTTTCATGGATTTATGATTTAGCAGAGCCGGAGGCCACTGGGCAGTTTCAGGCTGACATTCTCCTTCCAGCTTCTTTCAGTTTTTCTATACCCTGTCCCTTCCTCGCCCTCACCAAGGTGAAAACTACCCTGCCTGAGAAATTAATGTGATATTGCCAACAAAGCATAGTCTACACAGTACTCACACAACTTTAACCAATGAATTATCATTGTACAGAGGTTAGTGAACTTCACAATGAGAGATTTTGCTCTAGAAAGAGAACATTTGGGGGGAGGGGGGGCACATATATGCCTGAAACTAATTTAAATGTGAAGGTAACTGCAATCCTGATTTCCAAGGAATTTTTTTAAAGTGGTGAGTGCTTTTGAATGAAAGTTAAATGTCAAGTTTTCCTTGTATCATCTTCCCATCTTCTGAATTAACAAGTTTCTGTTCCTTTTAATAGGTTCTCCGTCCTTCACTTACTTTAATCCAATGCCCTGCTATCATTTACTTCGCAGCAAGGTCCTAGAGGGAGCCAAGGGACACTGCTGAAACCTGTAACGCCATTCACCTGTCCTCCTCCTCAAGGGACCACAAGAGAAGCTGGGAAGTTAGATGGTGAACTAAGTCTAAAGTAGAAAAGTTTTGTGGGAGTGCCCCCTTGACCAGTACTTTGTAGGTACTAGTTAGTGTCCAATACATATTTGCTGGTTTAAAACCTAAAGTCTCCAAAGAACTTGAAGCAGGGCAAAAATTCTAAATAAGTCTCCAGGCTAAACGCAGTCTGGGGCGCCAGCACTTGAGACCTGACAGGCGACTATGAAATGCACATCCTGGGCGAGGACCCCGAGCTCACGTGCCCGGAGGGAAGGGGCAGCGTCCCTCCAGGCCGGACCCCGGTGTCCCCTCCGCTGCTGGATGGCGCCCTGGTCCGTGCTGCACACGCGGCACGCGAGCTTCCGGGACTAGCCGGTACCCAGGGCTGAGCGCCCAGGTCTGGGTGTGGGGCGGGCGGCCGGGCGGCAGCGGGGGCGGCGGGCGGCGGGCCCAGCGCGCGGTTTGCCCCGACCGAGCGGGCCGCCCGCCGGCGCCTGGAGACGATTCCCGCCTCGGGCGCGCCCTGGACCGTTGAAAGGGGACCCTACCCGCTTCGCCGCCGGCGCTGTGGGCAAACGCGAGTGGAAGGGGCGCCGGAGTCTCGCTCGAGTTAGGGAGAAGTGAGACCCAACCGCGGAAGCAGGGCCCCTCCCGGCCGGCGTCCCGCTCCGACGGCGGCTCCTCCCTGCCCGGGGCGCAGCACGGGCGGGGCCGCGAACGGGCGGACGCCGCAGGCCTGGACTGGGAGCCGGGGAGGATGACGGGCCCTGGCGACCCGCCGCGCGCGCCGCTCCCTCGGCCTCCGGGGCCGGGCGGGGCCGCGGGCCACCAATCCCGCGGGGAGGCGGGCCCGGCCGAGGCCGCCGGGGACCGCGCCTAGGGGACGTCCCCGCATCTGAGCCCGCGGCGCCGGGCGCGCAGGCACCGCCTCGCTGCGGGCGAGACGCCGGCCGGGCCGCCTAGTGCGTGCAGGCCGCGCCCGGCGCCGCGGGGAAGACGGAGAGCGCGCCTCAGTACCGAACCAGACTGGGCTCGCCGTGCACCTTGCCCGCGTCTGCGAGGTCGGCCATCAGTTCGGCGTGCAACAGCCAGGACGGACATTTGTGTAGGTGGAATTTCAGGTTTCTTGTCCCACGATCGGAGCACCCAGAGCTTCCGACCCGATGGGCAAGTCCTCACTGAGCACTTCCCACAAAAACGAACGGGCCACCAGGCCCTGGGGGCGAGAAGCCGGCTGTGCGTGGGTGTGCCTGTTAACGCCCTTAGGTTCTTTCAGGGCTCAAGACCCATGTACAGTACTACTTGGATAATTTTTTGTTTTTACTTTTATTTTTCAATTACAGTGTACATTACTTTGTAGTAGTTTCAGGTGTACAGCATAGTGGTTAGACAATCACATGCTTGATTGACAGTGTTCCCCCAGATATTTCCAGTACCTACCTGGCACCATACACAGTTATTACAATATTATTGACTATGTTCCCTATGCTGTACTTTACAACTCTGTGACTATTCTGTAACTACCAGTTTGTACTTCTTAATCCCTTCACCTTTTTTTTCACCCAGCCCCCAAAACCCCTACCCTCTGGCTACCAGCAGTCTGTTCTCTGTATCTATGAGTCTGTTTCTCTGTTTGTTTATTTTGTTCTTTAGATTCCACATATACGTGAAATTATATGGCATTTGTCTTTCTCTGTCTGACTTATTTCACTTAGCATGATACCCTCTAAATTCATCCGTGCTGTTGCAAATGGTAAATTTTCATTATTTTTTTACAGCAGAGTAATATTCAATTGTATATACATATTGCCACTTTTTTTTGTTTGTCTATTGATGGGCATTTGAGTTGCTTCCATATCTTGGCTACTGTAAATAATGCTCAATATACAAGTAGGAGACTCTTGATGCAATTCTGTTGTTTGCAAAATGGAAATAACCCTAGTTATTTAGATTGTAAGGTTTGTTAATAAAAAATTTTCTGACACTCATTAAAATAGTAAGGAAGGTTTTATTAAAAACAACTCCAAATACAACAATAAAAAGTAGGGATTTATAGCCAAAGAGCAAAGTGGGAGTCAGTGGATAGAATATTACTAAGAGGAAACAGCAGGTGTAAGGGGAGGATTCTGGCTAAACTGAGCTAACAGGACTCTATGGCAGGCGGAGGCGATCAAACATTTGGGGATTTGAGGGATGAGAAACTCCCCATTAGATTTGGGGGATGATCAGTTATGGAGGATGGCAAATTCTGGCTAAACTGACTTAGCAGGATACGTGCCAAAATTGAATAATTATAGAGAGAACATGGAATTCCAAAAATCAAGGCCTAGTTGAAAAAGAGTTCAAAAAAAAAGAAAAAGTTCAGGGAAGCCTGGGTAGAGTTTGGTCAAGGAGAGGATCTTTATCAGGATACAGTGATAAGATTATTACAATAATTGAGACAATTGTGGAGTTTCTAACACATAATAAGGACTGATGGTGAGCTTATAATATTTTAGGGTAGACAAAACAAATGCTCAGAAAGCAATTAAGCAGTATATCAACTTCCTATGTAGGAAGTCAGTAAGTGCTTGGGGTGCAAATACTGAATGGAAAATCAAAGTCCTTTAATGGCTTTGATGGAATAGGTTTTAGGACTTCCTACATCCCTGAGACTCTCACCAAATGAAAGATTGCATAAGGAAACATTTCTTTAAAAGCACTTGGTGCTGTGACTATGAAAACATGTTTTAAAGAAACTCAACAGTATTTATATAGAGTAATTGTGCCCTTTACGATAGTCATTCACAAATCCAACAATGTCCATTCTTATTGCCATAAGATCTGTATGTAACAGACACTATTGGTTGCCTATCCTGATGTTCATATGGGCATTCTCTCTCTTATTCCATATTTGTTTAGGTTTCTGTCCATTTCTCCAGGTTACTTCCTTTGGGAAGGTGTAGCTCCAGGACTGGCCACAACCCATTACTCTTGAGGGGACATATATGGCTCCTCTCTTTCACACCTGTATACCCAGCATTTTAGTGTCATAGTCCCTTCAGGTTGCTACAAAAGAATACCATAGACTAGGTGGTTTATAAACAGCAAAAAGTTTATTTCTTACATTTCTGACAGCTGGAAAGTTCATGACTGAATCACCACCCAAAGGTCCCATCTCTAAATACCATCACATGGGGATTAGGTTTCAACATAGGAATTTTAGGAGTACATAGGCGTTTGGTTAGAAGGTCCTGTTAGCTCAACCTTCAAAATATATCCGGAATCCATCCCTTACCACCCCTACTGCTATCATCCTGGTCCAAACCATCATTTATTTCCTGGATAATTGTAGTACCCTCCTAAATGCTGTCCCATTTCCTACCCATCAACTCCTTCAGTCTTTTCACAATGAACAGCCACATGATTTTTTTAAAAACTTAAATTAGATCATTTCACTGCTCAAAGCATTTCAGTGTCATTTTAGTTCAATCAGTATTAGCCAGTCTTTTTTATTTTTTAATTTTTTAATCCTCATCCGAGGACATTTTTCCATTTTTTGCCCAGATACAGTGGGAGGGAGAGAGAGAAACATCAATGTGAAAGTGACACATTGAGTGGCCGCCACCCTCACGACCCAACCAGGGCCGGGGACAAACTGCAACCAAGGTACATGCCCTTAGCGGGAACCGAACCCGGGTCTCCCCGGACCGCAGGCTGAAGCTCCAACCGCTGAGCCAAACCGGCCAGGGCGGCCAGTCTTTACTATGACCTCAAATGGCGTTTTTCAACCTTGGCACTATTGACATGTGGGCCTGATAGTTTTTTGTTGAGAAAGGAAAGATGGTCAAAAGGTGGAATCTCCTGTGCATTGTAAGTTATTTAGCAGTACCCTGGGCCTCCCTAGCACTCCCTCCCCTGAAAGTTATGACAACCAAAAATGTCCCTAGACATTACCAAAATTTGTAAACTTGGCCCTTACTCATACCCCTCATAAAAATTTTCTTGAAATTGATATAGATATAAATCTAAATATGAGTTAAATTTTTTGAATTTTTGGAAGAAAACCTAGGAAAAAGTCTTTATGATTTTGGATTTGGTAAATCTTTGTGATATTTGAGTTTGTGTAATTAGAATGTACCAATAAAATAAAATAACTGGAAGTCTAAAAGAAGAAATTGATAAATTAACTTCAATCAAAATAAAAAACTTATTGCTCTTCCAAAGACACTTAAGATACCAAGTTTTCGTTAAGTGTGTGGAGTAACTGGAACTTTCTCACATTGTTGGTGGAGATCCAAAATGGTACAGCCACTTTGGAAAACTGTCAGTTTCATATAATGTTAATCATATAAATAACATATGACCCAGCAATCGTGTTCCTAAGTATTTACCCAATAGAAATGTAAAACTATATATACTCAAAGACTTGTATGTGAATGTTTATACAGCTTCATATATAATAGTCAAAAACTGGAAACAACTTGAGTTCCCATCAACTATTGAGTGGATAAAAAAATTGTGGTGTACAACATATCTCCTATACAATGGAATATCAGTCAGTAACAAAAAGAAACCACTGACACAAGCAAAAACCTGGATGGATATCAAAAGCATGATGCTAACTGAAGGGAAAAGACGAAGAGTGCATACTGTATAATTCCATCGAAATTGCCAGGGACTGGGCTGGGGGGATGGGATTGACCATAAAGGGGCTAATGGAACTTTTTGGAATGATGGAAATGTTTAATTTCTTGATTGTGGTAGTGATTACATGATTACACGTCTGTCAAGACTCATTTAATTGTACACTTAAAATTTATGAATTTTATTATATGTAAATTATACCTCAATGAAACTGACTTAAAAGAATGTTTAAAGAGAAAGATGGAAAGAACCTGAGTCCTTGAGACCATTATTGAACTATTCATTCAATTAACCTTGTAGTCCAGTCCCCATACTTTTTATATTCATTCATGAGGTGTTAAGTGTCCCATTGTTTAAGCCACATAGCATTGATTTTTATTTTTCTTGCATCTAAAATCTTCCTAACAGATGAAATAATAAAGGTTCAAGTGGCAATGAGTTTAAAATGTTAATAAATTTTTACTGAATAAAAATGGGAACAGAAGTGCAGGTAAAGCTATACTGAGAATATGTGGGGTTTTTAAGTGTTGGGATTTAATGCAGAATTTATGATTCAGAGCATATTGCTGTGTGTATGTTTCAAGATGAAACTGACAGAATATAGAAATACAAATTTTGGAACTAGTGAAAGAACGTCTTCTGAATGAACATGATGAGAAACAAGAAAGAAAAGAGAATCTAGACATAAAAGCACTAAAGTATGAGTCATCAGAAGACAAAATATAGGGTAAACAAGGTTTTCAAACAGCGCAATTTTGATAAATCTTACAGACTATGAATGATTCACCACAAACACACACAAAAGGATTTTCTTGGCGGTGTGCCCATCCTGTAGGTATGGCATGAGTTCTGCCTTTCCAAGAACCAGGTGCTCTAAAATGCTTACACTGGTTCGAAGGAAAAAGAAAAACTTAACCATTTAGTGAGCATGCTTTACAAGGCCAAGATAATTTCAAATCAGTTAAAGTGTTAAAGATGTTGCATAGACAAAACAGTTAGAAAAATCCAATCCTGTTATTTAATGTAA